ACCCTCTGGACGCGGTCGCGGGCTCTCTCTCTCTCTCTCTTTTTTTTTTTTTTGTCTCTCTCTCTCTCTCTCTCTCTCTCTCTTCTTGGCCCAGCGGTCTTCGTTGCACTTTGACCGCGAGGGTGCTGTGGAAATCACCGCCGCCGAATACAGCAAGAGGAGGAGAGGGAAGAGTAGGAGGCGGAGGAGGGGGATCACCAGCCAAGCTGCTGCCAGGACCGCGCCAGCAGACTGTACCTCGGGATTGAAGCAGGGACTGCCGATAGATGGCTCAACCCCAACTCGTATCCTGTTTCTGGGGCCTGTGGCTGGGGACGGAAGTCCTGCCTATCAGCTATCAGCCTCTCTTCAACCCAAAGCTGAGTTGCATCCTGAAGGCGGGGAGCCTCTTCAAGGGGAGAGAAGGAATCGACTCGCCCCCGGGGTTCAGTCAACCCTGGTACGCACCGACGATGCTGCTGCTGATGATGCTGATGCTGCTACTGATGATAAGGAGGAGGAGGAGGAGGAGGAGGAGGAGGATTAGGATGGGGAGAAGGATGCTGATGTTGCTACTACTGATGATGCTGATGATGATGATGATGATGATGCTGATGCTGCTGTTGGTGCTGCTGTTGCTGCGGCTTCGGATGGTGATGCTGACGATGATGATGATGATGATGATGATGATGATGATGATGATGATGATGATGATGATGATGATGATGATGATGATGATGATGATGGTGATGATGATGATGATGATGATGATGGTGATGATGATGATGATGATGATGATGATGATGATGATGATGATGATGATGATTATGATGATGATCAAGTCCTCCCATCGTTAATTATCCTCCACTCCCCTCTTTCCTCCTTAACCCTCCTCAGCGCTCCTCAATCCTTCTGCGTAACCCTCCTTTCTTCCACCCTCCTCCTGCATGGGCGGCCCAGGGATTGGGGATGGGACAACATGTATTTCTTTGTTTGTTTTTGTTTTTGATTACATATATGTATATATATATATATATATATATATATATATATATATATATATATATATGCGTGTGCGTGTGTGTGTGTGTGTGGATTTGCTTGCTTCTACCCGTACTTGGTCAGTCTTGCAGTTCTTTGCCAGGGGCCAGCCGCTCCTACAGGCTATGTCATGCGGCAGCACCCTCCCCCCTCCCTTTTGATGAGCATACCCCTTCAGGTGGAGGAAGTCGGGCTCGCGGAGGAGGACGAGGCCGACGAGGCCTACCTGGCGAGCCTCGGCCTCTCATACCTCATCGACGACGATGAGGCCCGTCGGGCCCGCTCGGGGGAGGATGTCATGTCTCGGCTCCTCTCCCTCCCCCCTCCTCCCCCGAAGCAATTCCTTATCCTTGTAAACAGGGGTATTTCCCGGTAGACTGGGTTCTTCCCCGGTCGGACAATTCTTTTTTACATTCTGAGGGATTCAGAAAGTTTTTGAGAGATTCTGAGAGGTTCTGAGAGGTTCTAGAGATTCTGAGAGTTTCTGAGAGGGTCTGAGAGATTCTGAGAGATTCTGAGAGATTCGGAGAGATTCTGAAAGATCCTGAGAGATTCTGAGAGGGTCTGAGAGATTTTGAAACATTCTGAGAGATTCGGAGAGATTTTAAATATTCCGAGAGATTCTGGGAGATTCTGAGAGATTCTGAGAGATTCTGAGAGATTCCGAGAGATACCGAAATATTCTGACAGGTTCAGAGAGATTCTGAGAGATGCCGAGCAATTCCGAGAGATTCCGAGAGAGGCAGGGGGCTCATTGTATTCAATTTTGTATTGCTGCGACTAGTACTACTGGATTACGACTGGGCTGCTCGTACTAGTGGGGGTATTTGTATTATTTGCACTCAAACTAGTACTGCTGCGACTACTACTACTACTACTACTACTACTACTACTACTACTACTACTACTACTACTACTACTACTACTACTACTACTACTACTACTACTACTACTACTACTACTACTACTACTACTACTACTACTACTACTACTACTACTACTACTACTACTACTACTACTACTACTACTACTACTAACTACTACTACTACTACTACTACTACTACTACTACTACTACTACTACTACTACTACTACTACTACTACTACTACTACTACTACTACTACTACTACTACTACTACTACTACTACTACTACTACTACTACTACTACTACTACTACTACTACTACTACTACTACTACTACTACTACTACTACTACTACTACTACTACTACTACTACTAACTACTACTACTACTACTACTACTACTACTACTACTACTACTACTACTACTACTACTACTACTACTACTACTACTACTACTACTACTACTACTACTACTACTACACTACTACTACTACTACTACTACTACTACTACTACTACTACTACTACTACTACTACTACTACTACTACTACTACTACTACTACTACTACTACTACGCGCGAGACTTCCTTGCAAAAGCCACCAAAGTGGACTCTTTCCCGGCGCCGCGCTGGGAACCCAGTTTACCGGGAAAGAACCCAGTCTGCCGTGAAAGAGACGAGATGCCTCTTCCCCTTCCTCCTCCTCCTCCTCCTCCTCCTCCTCGTCCTCCTCCTCCTCCTCCAGGAGAAGAACTCATTCCCTGAGGCCCAGACGTCGCATCTGTTTGCACATCGGGCGCTCCCGCCCAGCTTTGGATCCCGGGCCCCTTGCGGATCGATCCAGCTCGAAGCAGACATGAGGGGTGCAGTTTTGATTTTGATAGACTTTTTTTGCGGGGTGGGTGGGTGCGACGTCGGACCTCAAGGCCCCACCCGGCGTAGCAATTTCCAGACTCCTTCAGGATTCCTCCTCCTCATCCGCTCCGGCGTCCCCCAGTTCCTTCTCACCCTCCGCTTTTCTCTATCGTCGGGAGGCTAAGGGGAGCGCGTCCATTTGTATCTCGTCAGTGTCTAGGTGAAACTTAATATCGCCAATCGATTTGAGTATCTATGCGAAGCATGTATGCGCGACAGTATTGCCTCTTTGCGCTTTTTCCCTCTGTTTTTATCTCTCTCTCTCTCGCTCTTGGAAATTCCCACGCTGTCGTGACGTTGCGCTGTCCAACGCTAGAACGGACGTTTGTACGAAGCGCGCATGTGATTCTAGCTCCTCTGGATATGTATGTGTATATATATATATGTATATAGGTATGTGTATATACAGTTATGCATGCTTACATTTGTGTATATGTGTATATACATGTATACATGTGTACAGCTAGATAGCGAGAGTCTTCCATTGATGCGTATATCGGTTGTGAAGTCCATAGCTATACCCACATCTACGGGAACATTAATTCAGAGTAAGACAGCGGAAGAGGGGGATATCAACATACATATATGTATGTATCTCTCTCTCTATATATATATGTATATATATATATATATATATATATATATAGCTGCCACAATGGTGACGGTCTTTGAATTCGACCGGCGCAAGACCAAACATTTACTTCGCCCCGTCCTTTGAAACGCGGACGCATTGGATGTTGCTTCGGCTCTCTACCTCGCATCCCTCTCCTCCCTTCGCCTGGCCCTCCCTCCGCTTGCCCCTTCCCCACCACCCTCCACCTCCGCCCATTCCCTTCCCCTCCACCACCCATCCCTCTGCTCTCCACCCACCGCTCCCCTGTCCTCCTCTCGGCTCGCCCCCCCCTGTTTCCGCTCTCCCCCTCGCATGGTCGATCTCTCTCGCCTTTCCTCCCGCCTCCCTCTCGCACTGCGCCCCCCCCCTTTCCCGCGCACCGCCTGTCGCCCCCCCACCTCCCCTTGCCCTCCCACGCTCTCAGCGACCAGAGCATGTATTGATTTCGTTCGGCGGTGAAACTCTGTGGGGGAAAAATCCTACCTCCCCTCGCTCCCTTCTCCTCCCGCCTCACCACCTCCCCACCCCCCACCTCCCCCTCCCTTCCTTCCCGGCGCATCGCGGCCCCGGGTCTCTCCTTGTGATGGTGCCGTGCCACCGCCCAAGGCCGCGGTCGCCCAGCCCCCCCGTCGGGACCACCTTTGCCTCCCGGTTCCGGGCATCACTGCCCCGGCCGTTTTCCCGCTCGCGGCCGCCCGGCGACAGGCGGACTCCCTGTGCGGCGCTCGGGGCGATGAGGAGAGCGACAAGGCTCTACCGCGGAGGAGGAGGAGGAGGAGGAGGAGGAGGAGGAGGAGGAGGAGGAGGAGGGGTGGTAGCATTCCCAGAGGATTTTGATGCCACTCAGCGCCCAGCGCCCAGGCGGAGGAGGCGGAGGAGGCGGAATAGTAGTAGTCGTCGTCGTCGTCGTCGTCGTAGTAGTAGTAGTAGTAGTAGTAGTAGTAGTAGTAGTAGTAGTAGTAGTAGGAGGAGGAGGAGGAGGAGGAGGTGGAGGAGGAGGAGGGGGAGGAAGAAGAAGAGGAGGAGTAATAATAATAATAAGCATAATAATAATTAGAATAATAAGAAGACGAATACTAATACTACTAATAATAACACTAATAACAATAAGAATATTAATACGAGTAATACGAATATGAATATTAAGAATAAGAACAACAATTACATAATAATAAGACGAATAAGAATACTACTTATATTAATAAGAAGAAGAATAATAATAAACACATTAATACTAATCATAAGAATATGAAGAATAATACTACGACTAAGAATACTAACACTAATACTGCTAATAATAATAATAAGAATAAGAATAATACTAAAACGACGATTAATATTAATAATAAGACTAATACTACTAATGCTACTGATGAGCATAAGGATAATACTATTAACACGCATAATCTTAACACTAGTAATAAGAATAATAAGAATAAGACGAACAATAATACTAATAAGAAACATGATACGATTAATATATCGAAGAATAGCAATAACACTAGTAATAATAATAGTAATAATACTACTACTAATAATACTATTAATAATAATAACAATAATCTAATACTAGTAATAGTAGTATTATTATTACTACTACTACTACTAATAATTCTAATGATAATAATAATAAGACAAAGAAAAACAATACTAATAAGAAGAAGAAGGAGAAGAGGAGGAGGAGGAGGAGGAGTTGGATCCCGCAGCCGACTTCCTTTCCAGGTCTGCCCGCTGCCCGCCCCGCCAGTCGCCATCTCCACGACTCCTGTGGGGCGGGACGGGTAGTCTATGATGGGTGGAAAACAGGCCCATCAGTGTACAGTGGGGGGGGAGGGGACCAGGGAGCCTCGCCGCCGGCTGCCCTGGCGTTGGGCAGGTCGGTCACCCCACCACGCGCTGGGTGTTTTTTTCCAGTCTCAAGAGGTTTCCAGTGTAAATAGTTGTGGGGCATTCACAGAAGTTTCGAGGGAGTTCAAGATGGGCCAAGATGGTTTCCGCAAAGCACAAGATGGCTTCCAGATTGGTACAGGATTTCCCCAGATGGCCTCACGACGGCCCAAGAGGCCCTCAAGGCGCCCCAAGACGGGTCAAAGAGGACCCCCAAGAGGGCTCCAAGAGGCAAAAACCGTTCCCCCGCAGCCATTGTGGTGCAAACCATTTTGTGGGTGCCAGTCTCCACGTTCACCGGAAGTGAGCAGTGGCAGCGCACGCGGGATTAACCAGCATCAGCGAGACCACGGGTGCCATGGCAACGCTTCTGTATATCACGATTGCGTTGGCAATGATTCCAGCGGGATTGGTGTCTCTGCCTGGTGCATCGTGGGGTCATGATTCCAACGTGATTGCCGTCGATCTCACCTCAACGTCGACGCTCACCAAATCTCGGCCGAGCCCAAGTATGTCTGAATCGGAGCCGATGTCCATGGGGAGGTGGGCAGTCTGCGGTGGAGTGGCATCCCCATTAGCAAAACCGATGGTCACAGGCATATTTCGCGGACGTGCTCTTCACCGTTTTCTTCGACTACAACATGGTGGCGCAGAGGAGATTGGAAATCGCACTCGGATCCGCGTCCGAAATGCGATTGGACGAATGGCCCGTCTTGGAAACGTGACCCAGCATAGGTACGCGAGAGACAATCCGAAGAGGGGCCAGCGGCGCGCCAACAAGGAGTGCCAGCGGCGGGCCGACGAGGAGGTGAGGCGCAGGCCTCAAAGAAGGTGGAACAAATATGCACCGTTCTATGATTTTGCCATAGCTTCTGTAGCGCAATACCGGCGCTTGCGGCTCGAGCTCAACCGTCGGGCACGGGTCGGGGAGAGAGGTTTGGTTGGTCTGCGGATTCGGCGCGCGCGGCGAAAAGATGGCATACGTGTGCGTTGCACGTGGTATCCATTCTGTGTTTGTGCGAGAGCTCTCTCGGCGCGTGAATTTCAGGCAGGGTCGGCGCCGTTTAAAGTGGCAGGCCGTCGCAGCGTCTTGACTCCGCACAGTTGTTTTTCGATTGGTCATCTTGTCGCGACTTAGGCGAGTCCGGGAAAAAACAGGGGGCGAAACTCGCCCCAATTTCTGAGGAAGCGGGCGCGGTTCGTAGAATTCGTCGTCTTGGTTTTACCAGCGTCCAATAATGCCCTGGCGGGCCCCGAGATCGCCCCGAGAGGCACCCCGAGAGGGCCCCGCGGCGGCCCGAGGGGCGCGCCCGAAACTGCCCAAGAGCGCCCGAAAAGGGCCCCGAGAGGGGCCCGACAGGGGGAACTTGAATTGACAGGTCGAGCCCCCCGCCCCGAGAGGGCTCCCGAGACGCCCCCAAAACGGCCCCCAGGAGGGTTAAAATTGTCTCCAAGAAGCTCCCCAGAGGGTTCCCAATAGACCCGACAGGCATCCAACAGGCTTCAGTGGCAAGATTTTGGCGCGCTCGCGTTCTCGAGCATCGAGGCGCTCTGGGCGGCCCGGGCGGCCCCGGATGGGCAAAAAAAACCGCCGAAATTGCGTGCCAAAGCCCCGACGGGCCCTAAGGCGGCTCAGCTGGCCCCCGAAACGGCGCTACCCAGGCCCTCCCAATGTCCCCGAGGCGGGGCCAAGAGCGGAGCAGCGAATATGTTTCAAGGGTCCCAGAGAACGCTCGTAGGCCGCCAACACGGCGCCAATATGGCTTGTGTTGATCGCAGGACTGCCCAAAAAGCCCCCGAGACAGCCGATGACGGCGAGAAAACGGCCCCAAAGGCCCTCGAGGAAACTTCCGAAAAAAGGCCAGAAATGTAAAACGCGTATGGCGTTTTCAACAACTTCATCATTCACGATTTTGCTTTTGCAGCAGCCCAGACCGCCACTGTGGCCCCCAATATTGCCCGGAGACCGCCCGGGGGGCCCAAGAGGGCATCACAACGGCCCGAGGCGGCGCTGAGATGGCCCAGGAGGCCCCCGAGAGGAACCCAGGACGCCGGCGAGGCCGCCCAAAGACGCCTATGGAATGCCCAAAGACTGTCGACATCCAAGAGGGCTTCCGAAGGCGTCTGTCGGCCGCGAGCGCTCCAAAACAGCCCAAGGGGCCCCCCAGAGACCCGGAAAGGTCTTCAAGAGGCTCCAAGAA